TGTCATCATGCTAATTAAGGAATATGAAGTGTTAGAATTGTATTTAGAACATATTGAAATTTGAGTATGATTCTTGAATTTTATATGAAGAATAAGATTTTGAAGTTATAGATGATTTTCATGGATATAAGTTGGTTTAAGTAATGGTAGTTGAGTTTAATGACATGATAGGGGTTTAAAATAGAAGAATTAAGTGAAAATTGATGATTTTTCGGGCTTAAAATACAATTTCTGGGCATAGGGAACCGATACCCTATGAAGGGAAATCGATTCCCCTTCTAGAACGAGAAAATTTCCAGTATGTCCAGGGGGTATCGATTCCCCCATGGGGGGTATCGATTCCCCCCTAAAGGAAAAATGAAATTGGCTTCAATAATCTGGCTTAAGTTGTTAACATCAAGTTTAAGGTTTAGGCTTCTGATAGTTGTTTTGAAATGTTATATTTATGTAGATATTGAGCCTAAACAAGTTCCAGAATAATCAAAGGAATATAATCGAATGAAAGCAAGGCTAAGGTGAGTGCAATTTTAATTGTACTTATATTATTGAACATTGGCTTGCGATGAGCTAGTGATGGAGTTACTATGGTAAAAAGTGACTCTTAAAATGTTAATTGATTTGTGATTCTTATATATGCATGAATACATGAAATGGGTATAGGTTATTATATATGTTATATGATATGCATAGACATAAAAGCATGAAACATAAGATATATGATATGATATACATGATTATATGCATATGTGATATATGCTATGAGACATGATCAATGTGAAATGAGATAAGTCATGTGAATATATGAAATGATATATGAATATGCAATACATGGTTACACATACATGTGGTATGTGACAGAAAAGAAAGAACAAGTGATGAGAAAAGTATTCATTGTAAATGCCCATAGTATATGATATGAGAGCTATAGGTATAGTTGGCATGCCAAGAGTCGAGGATATTGTAGTCCTTTGGTACGTAGTGGTCCTACGGGACATATATAGCAGTCATTCGGGACGAATACTGAGCAAATGTTCGGTGCCCCATGAGGGAATTTATACGAGCTGTGGTGACAGCATTGGTGCACAACCTCAATATACTCACATACCTCTATTCTCAATAATATACATGAGCAACAACAACGACAATTGAAATATAATGTAAAGTGAAAGTGATGCATAAAGGTAAGTTTCATGTGTGCATGACTTGGTTATATATGTTATAGGAAATATATCCATGCATATTGAAATATCATGATCAAATGGTAAGAATGCATATTCATGAAACTAGTGTTACATGTTTATTTATTGCCTCACTAAGTCTATGACTTAGCATGTAAGTGATTTACACGTAGGTACCAAGAAACGTGAAGAGCAAGAATAGAAGTGGCAAGGATAATATTTTTACTAGAAGATCAGATCAGAAGTAATCGACAAAGTATGTATTTTGTTGTGTATAGAGTGTTGGCATGTAATAAGTCGTTAATTATGAGCACTCTGATCGAGTTTGTATTTTGTAATCTCTTCTATGTAAATTAAAGTATTTTGTTTTAAATAAAGTTTTAAATTTCCCGGGAATTTTCTTTAAGTGTCAAGGTTTTAAAAGTCAATGTGACACCTATTATGGCTTGTTAAATTACATTTTTGATAGTCACAACGCTCTAGAACAACTAAAATAATATATTTTATATAAAAATTATGAGAAAATAGATATAATGTTACTCTTGGTAGATACAACATAGTTCAATTTGCCAAAGGTTATAGATTGAGAAATTAGAAAAGTTGTCAAAGTTAATTTAATGTGGTGAACAAAAAATTATAGATTGAGTTGGGAAAGTTGATCAATTTCATGGAGTACAAAATTATTTATTACTTATTATTTTTTCATGCTTTTTTACACAATGTCTACACTATTAGATTTCTTCTCCAATATAAATAGAAGATTATTAAATACTTAAACGTGTTTGATTTTAAATTTTTCTATATACTATTTCAATAACGATATTAATCGAACTAAATTTAATTTATTCTTTTATCTTTTTTATAATTTATATGTAAGATTTTACTAATGAATGGTCATCAGTTAAATCGAATCAATTTTTTGATCTACTTGAATTTGATTCAAATATAAATCTCCACCCATCATCCAACTTAAATGGGTGTGGAGAAATTTTATCCATCCCGAAACTGACCCAATTTTTAGGGTAAAAACTTGCACCCGATATGATCTAATTCGATAACACACACACATATATATATAATGTTATTTTTTATTTTGAAAAATAGGGACCTAATTAAATATTAATATAGAGAGAAGAGTATTATAACAATTATCCTTAATTATATATGTAACCCCCTAGACCCGACTTAGACGCTATGACCAAATCTAGACGGTTACATATTGTATTAAAAAAAATCATACTTAAAATAACGTTAAAATTCATATAATAGTATATCATGGAATTAGCCATAAGAAAGATTCATACGATAAACATATACATATATCAGAAAACTGTATAGAACATATATATAACAAAATACTGGTAATACAGATATATCGAGACGGTTAGCAAAAACACGTGTCACCAAAGTATAACTAAAGGCATATAGAGATATACAGTAGTACAAAATAAGAGTAGTCAATCTTTCTGATGCCAAGTCTGCTAGCCTACGATCTGCTACTATATGACTACTATATGAAAATGTTAAAATTTACATAATGAGCTAAAGCCCAGTGTGCTCCTTAAGGTGTATAAAAACATACAGATAAAATACTTTAGTAAAACCCAGTTTATCAAACATGTTTTAAAAATATGACCACTACCCCCCATCCGATCACCAGAATGTGTCGGTTCCCCAGAACCATACACTCACCTTTACACCCAATAAGGGCCTTATACATATAGCATAAGGACATGTGGTAAGGACTTACCCTGTGCACAAAATAGAAGAGTCTGCGGTAAGGTCTTACAAGTCATAGATTAAGCCTGATATATTTCCCCCAATAATACCCCCGATGACAGTAATAAACATGTATGTATTCGAGTGAAAACGGTAGTTTAATCCATTAAAACATGAAAATGTTTCATACTCAGAAATCATATACATAAATACAGTAATCAGAGATCATATCATAAATATACAATAAATCAGATATCAGATAAACAATATTCAGAAAACTAGGTATCGTCTTGTAAAAATATTCACTATCATTATAAATCTAAACCAATTCATATGAATAGATTAAAATAGTAATCTAACACCATAAGGAAAAACACATGTGTCAGTCTGAGTAGTCTGATAAGAAAACCTACTACTAAGTCTGTTGATCACGATCAACGGCAATGCTAGATCCTCAAATAAGAAAATATATATCATAATCATAATATGAATAATAATAATCTCTATTTAAAAAATTTACAAAAATCTACGAGTAACTCTCGAAGAACGTGAATTGAGCAGATCTGACGGACGGGAAGCACCAGATCTAACCGAACCTCGATCGGATAAAACACGAGTATCTTCATAAAAATATTTTCTCGAATCAATCTCATAACCAAATCTCAAATAAATAAGCAAAAATGCTTAAAATATTAAGCATTTTCGGATTAACGGGCTCGATTTAGGACTTTCGGGTCAGAATTTGGTAAAACATGTCACATAATCAAACTTAGTACATCGAAAAACGTCAAGACAGAGGTTTTCGAAAACGTCAAGACAAAGGTTTTTGAAAAAGTAACGTCGGTCAACGATCAACAATTAAAGGTCAATAGTTTATCCGTTCGGTTCGAGTTGGATTGGGTCGGACAGGCGGGTGGTATCGGTTCGGTTCGACCCACTTTCTAGAAACCCACCAAGCGGTGAGATTTCCCCACGCACAACTACGGCACATGGGGTGATTGCAGGGCTTCAAGGGTTGAAAAAATTGCGAAAAAATTTCTATATGCATTGTAAGAGTTTTGAGATACTTAGCAAGCTCGGTTAATAGCGGTGAACGACAGAGAGCTCGATTTCGCGACGTCGAAAACTTAATCTTCCTCACCCCTTCACACGCCGACTGCAACAAAGACAAGATATACACCGGTGGACTCAGGACGACGCAATGAACACAATTGTGCGGAATGTGTCGAAAACAGAACAACAGTATACAATGAAACATCGATTAAAGATTTCATACTAAAAGAGAAAATGTTGAAGAGAGAGAAAAATATATTTTTAATTTCATATTTAGGAAAAATGGTATAATTACATGATAGGTCCTCTAGTTTTATTTTCATTGTTAATTTTGGTCTAAATTTAATTAAAATTTCACTTTGGTCCCTATATTTAGTTAAAATTTCAATTTAGTTCTAAAAAAATTAAGAAAATTTTAGGTCCTAATTTAAAGTGTGACAATATAAATATTAGTTATGTTATTATTTTCATGTTGAATTAGGTATTTTTTATCATAAATCTGAACTTGGCATGATCCATACTCAAATTTAAAAAAGCATATACGAGAATAATACCTTTTTACTTGTCATCCTAATATAATACTCCTCCACCCATCACCTAACCCAACCTAATTTTTTAGATAAAAACATACATCCAATTTGACATAATTATGTAATCTTATTTTTATAAGATGAAATATAATTGAAAATTTTGTAAAGAAATAAATACTATATCAATTGTATTTAAATATATAAAAAATTAATTATACTATTATTTACTTGTTGAATTTAGTATTTTTAACTCAAACTCAAATTTAATCCGGTCTAAATCTGAACTTAAGAAGAAGAAAAAAAAACCTTGTTAAATTGGATAAAATTAAAAGTTATAAAATTCGAGTAGAATACACTTGGTATAATTATGGTTTTGGTACATTAAATTATAAGAGAAAGAGAAGAGACAAAAAGGAGCGGAATCGAGATGCTTCTATGAACTGCAATTCATAAAAGAAATAATTGTCTGAAGACACTGTCACTCTGACTGCCAAATTTGAGTGTTGTCTCTGTCTCTGCCAAGTTTGAGAAACAAAGAGACGTTGTTGTGTTGTTACTTTCCACAATAACAACTTGGGAACTGCATCATTTACTCCCTCAAACCCAGAAAGAAAGAATAAAGTTGAAGCGTTTACCAACCATCAATGGCTTCAACATTCAAGCTTGTCTTTGCAGTTTGTTTTCTGCTTCTACTTTTAGGTATGTTCATCTTTGTTTGAATCTTCATATTTCATTCTTTAATATCTGATTTAAAATACCCAACTTGTTTTAGCATCTTTTGATGGATTGCTTGTTGGGTTGTCTAGTTTAGTCTTAAAATGACAAGGAATGTTCATTTGTCTGCTTATGTAATGTTTGCTCAATTGCTCTGCCCATTGAACTTTGTTTTATGGTTAGTTGAAGACAGCATCTGGTTTTGGTTTGAATTTCTATGGCAGATTTCTGTAGGGGAAGTGTTGTCGGAGTTTGCTATGGACGAAATGCCGATGATCTTCCAACGCCGGATAAAGTAGCAGAACTGGTTAAACTTCACAACATTAAGTATCTGAGGATTTATGATTCTAATAACCAGGTGTTGAAGGCCTTTGCCAACACCGGAGTCGAACTTATGGTTGCGGTTCCGAATTCGGACTTGTTAGCGTTCTCGCAGTTCCAATCGAATGCCGATTCCTGGTTAAAGAACAGCGTCCTTCCTTATTACCCTGCTACGAAGATCACTTACATAACGGTCGGTCTTGAAGTCACAGAGGATCCCGATAATGCGTCTGCCTTGGTTGTGCCTGCTATGAACAATGTCTTGACAGCATTAAAGAAGGTCGGTCTGCACAAGCGGATTAAAGTTTCGAGTACGCATTCGCTAGGCGTTCTCTCCCGATCGTTCCCGCCTTCCGCCGGGGCTTTTAACAGCAGCCATGCATATTTCTTGAGACCTGTGCTGGAATTCCTAGCTGAGAATCAGTCACCGTTTATGATCGATTTATATCCTTATTATGCTTATAGAGATTCTCCGAACAATGTCTCGTTGGATTATGCACTGTTCGAGTCATCCTCCGAAGTCATAGATCCGAACACAGGTCTGCTTTACTCTAACATGTTTGATGCCCAGATAGATGCCCTTTATTTTGCCTTGATGGCTCTAAATTTCAGAACAATTAAGGTTATGGTCACTGAAACTGGCTGGCCTTCCAATGGTTCATTGAAAGAAAAGGCTGCTACTCCGGACAATGCACAGACTTATAACATGAATCTGATTCGTCATGTTATCAATGACTCCGGTACTCCTGCCAAGCCCGGCGAAGAGCTCGATGTTTATATTTTCTCATTGTTTAATGAGAACAGGAAACCCGGGCTGGAATCGGAGAGGAACTGGGGTTTATTTTATCCGGACCAGACTAGTGTATATAGCCTGGACTTCACGGGAAAAGCTGCTGTTGGCATTACAAGTTTGAATGGTACGAGTTCAAACGGAACAACCTGGTGCATTGCTTCTAGCAAGGCTTCTGAATCTGAGCTACAGAATGCCGTAGATTGGGCTTGTGATCCCGGGAATGTAGATTGCTCCGCCATTCAGCCTAGCCAACCATGTTTCGAGCCTGATAATCTAGTTTCCCATGCCTCTTTCGCGTTCAACAGTTACTACCAGCAAAATGGGGCTACTGATGTCGCATGCAGTTTCGGAGGAAATGGGATCAAAGTTGACAAGGATCCTAGTAAGTCTTATCATTTTATCCCCTCCTTTGATAGTTCCGATGGTGTTGTTATGAATTCCGATTCAGGATTATCTTGCTTACCAAGAAACTGATGTTGTTGATTACTTGTGCAGGCTATGACAATTGCGTCTATTTGACCACTAGGTAGGCACATATTCTAAAACATCTCGTTATAACAAACCACTCTTTCTTCTTCGATTTGATCCCACCTTTCAGATACTCGTAACTGAATGAACTAAAGTTGTTCTCATGAACGTCATGCAGGATCAACAAAACCGCGACAAGGAATTCAACCGCCATGGCTAATAGCACTTCTTCCTCAACGCGGAACGAAGTGTACGCATGGATTGCTAGCTACTTTCTAATGACATTAATGTCAATTGTTATGAACCTAGGCAATGCATCATTTTGAGGAAAGGCAAGTTGTCCGGCATGCAAATGAAGCTTCGCCTTCGCGAGACGAAGACGATGTATTAAAAAGATAGAAGAATTCGCGGTTGCAGCTAGTTTTTTGTATGGTATTGGTAGTGCTGATGAGATGCTAAAGGAAAATGTATATACTGTCCTTTGTTGCTACTTGTTAGGACTGCAGTGTCTTTGATTGTTAGGTACAATTTTCTAACTTCATTTTTCCAAGGGAAAACTTACCAAAACGTTAGTAAGAAGAAATAGTCAACGGCATCAAATAGTGCCTAACAAGTAACAACAAACTATAACCCAACAGCACACGTTCTAATTAGGAGTAAAGCTCCGTTCTATTCTGGAAAAAGTACCTTTTTTTTATTTTGAGTTATTCGAATTGAACTATTTGAGTTAATTTGAATTTCAATTTGAATTTGAAGTTTTATTTTCGTATTTGATTCGAGTTTGGATTTTATGATTCGAGAAAACTGGTTTTAACTTAGAATTTAGTTCTCAATTCTTTTCTTTCTTTCTTTTAATTCTTCCTTCCTTTTAAGTTTAACACATTCATAAACCATTATAAAATATACTTATTTAGGGTTTTTTTTCCTGAAAACTAATTTCTTTTTCTTATTTTAAGTTTTTTTTTATCAAATATAAATTACATGTTTCACTAACATTATAGAATACATATTTTACTTTTGCAATTTAGTCCTATTTTATTCAATTTGATCTTTTGGTTAATTGTTTTTTAATTTTGTATTCCCGTTAATTTATTTGATTCTTTTATACTCTCATCAATAATTTGTTCTAAAAGATCTGTTGTTTAAAAATGAAATCATAAATATATTTTATAATTTTAAATGTTATTTGATTGATTAAATAGCATTATAAAACTTGCACATTTGAAGAAAAAAAATATGAAGAAATATATGTATACCTTATAAGATTAAAAAAAAATTAAATTGAGGCCGATATGTATAATAATATTATAAAAATTATAATTAAATTTAAAGAAAAACTCGAGACTCAACTTGAATTTCATAAACTTTATTCGACTGAAAAAAATCAAATAAAGTTGCGTAGGATAATTGACTCGACTCGACTTTACTTAATCGAATACTCACCCTAATTCTAAAGGCCCTGGTCGGTAAAATAATCACCCAACCTCTCCACAAACAAGTTGCATTGTCCTGGAGTCAATGGCTCTTCGTATAAGCCAAACACGAGAGCTTGTCCTGTTTTCTTAATAGTAGCCCCTCCTGCTCCCTGCCCACATCAAAATATACTCAATTTTAACCCTATTTCAACCAAAGCAAGAATAGTATGCAATCCATATAAAATAAAGGAAAAATAAGGTTTCAAAAACAATATAAAAACCTGGGAAGTTGGGACTCTTAGCCCAGACACTCCCATCATGGCCGATGATCGCGGCGGCAGTAAGGTGGTGGCCTTGTTGTCCCTCGATTTCACACATCAAATGCTCGTCTACGTACGTCTGCCACGACATCTTTTTTCTCGATGATGTTTGTTTACTAAGAAAATGCTGGGTTTTTTCAGAGTGATTTGGGAGTTTCAAGCTTGATAATGGTGAAAAGTTGAAGAGGGAGAGAGAAAGGTAAATAAGGAAAGCGATGAATAAGGTAAGGGAAAGGTTTTACTAAGCAACTTTCCATTGCTGCCATTCACGTCCTCCTTTATTTTAGCACACCCATGGCCATTCAAGCGGATATTTTACCTCTTCAACTTCTTTACATATTAATGCTTCATGTTAATATTTAAATTTAGAAAAATTCTACATTCGGTGAACATCGTTAACAATGATCACCATTAAATTAATTTATAAAATGTTAAATTATAAAGTAATTAACATATAATTATACATTAATTAAAATTTTAAATGTAATTTAATTAAAATATAAAATTTATAAAACATTAGTTTTTAGGGTAAATCATATCATTGACCACCTAACTATTTACCCTTTTTACTTTAACCACTAATTTTTTAATTTTGTCAACCGGGTCACCCGACTATTTAAATTTTGTCAATCAAGCCACATGTCGTTAAATATTAAAGGAGGACAGGACGTGATAATTAATAAAATTTGTATAATTTAACATTTAGTCTTTAATACTTACATATTGCATTAATTTGGTCCTAACTTTTAATTAATTCAATAAATTTAATTCTCAATCAGATGATGATATGTGCCACTATGTGATTGGTTTTTTTCTTAATATTTTTATTTAATTTAATAAATTTTTCATCCAATCAAATGGTGCCATGTGTCACCAATTGAACAAATAGAAAATAAAATGAATTAATAACCATTACTGGTGGGATTTAAACCAATACGTGAAAACAAATGCCTTAACCTCTAGGTTGCACCATTCAAATAACTAAATTATCACAACATAATATATACAGTTAATGACAATAAAAAGGGAAAATTACCTAATAAGAACTCCAACAAGGAATAATTGAATAATTGAATAATATGATACTTTGATATATATACATAAATATTATAATTGAATAATATGTGAATGAATTTTATTTATATTTTAAATAATTTTAATAAAAATAAAAAAATAATTTTTATATATTATAATTGAAATATAACGAATAGTTTTGTTGACTTATAATTTTCCTGATAGTTGAAAGCTTATCGTAGTAAGCATTTTAACTTATGCATTGACTTGTTTATATCCCAATTAGAGTAAGAATTTTATATTTTATTATTTATTCATCATATGTTTGAAGAAAATTTTAGGGGAAACTTGATTTTATTGAATTAGTCTATTTTGATATAGAGTTGTTAAATATGATTAGAATTCAATCGATGTTATAATATTTTAAAATATAAGATATGATATATTTAGTTATAATAATGAAAACAATTTATCAATTCAAAATATGTAAAAGGATACATTTCAATTATAGCATATTAAATTCACTTTTATTTTAATTTTTGCATTAAATGTTATTTAAAACATATTCATTTATTAATCAATTATAATATTTGTTTATATATATTTTCCATAATATTTAACTATTTCATGTTTGAGTCCTTATAAGGTCATTTATTACCATTAAGTATATTATAAATTGTATAGATTATGTTTAGCTTAGTGGTTAGAGCGCATAGTTTTTTTACTTGTGTCCCAAGTTCAAACCATACTAGCAACGGTTATTGATTTAATTTATTTTCAATTCATTCAATTGGTGACACGTGGAACTACTTGATTGGATGAAAAAAATATTAAAACATCCAATCACACAGTGACACAAGTCACCATCGATTGAAGATGAAATTTATTGAATTAAATAAAAGTTATGACCAAATTAATATAATGTGTAAGTAATGAGGACTAAATATATAATTATACAAATTTTATTAATTGTCACGCCATCTCCTCTGTTAATTTTTAATGGTAGTTGGCTTGATTGACAAGATTTAAATAGTTAGGTGACCCGATTGAAAAAATTTAAAAATCGATGGTTAAAGTAAAAGTGGTAAATAGTTAGGTGATCAATGGTATAGTTTTCCATAAAAACAATGTTTTTATAAATATTGTATTTTAATTAAATTATATTTAGATTTTTAACTAATTTATAATTATACATTTAGTACTTTATAATTTAACGTTTTATAAATTAATTTAATTGTGTTCATCGTTAATCATATTCATCCGTGCTCGTCGAGCGTGACATCATCATCCTTAAATTTATTTATTTTTCTAACATTAATTTCTAAAATTTTGTTTCATCCAATTCAGTAGTTGAACTTAATAATATCAAAAAATTTCTTTAATAATTTTACTCTTTTTTTAAATAAAATATATATATATATGATTGTTTTGTTTTGATGAAGATAGTGAGGGATAGGCATGGAATGTATTAAGTCAATTTTTATTTTTACTTTTGATATATTAATCAATTAATTCAGACAAATACTGCAAAGGTAAAGGCAACCCTTCCAACTAGTTGTTAGTATATTAGGTCAGGTTTTTGATAGACCTGAACATTCTACTCCTTCACTTATTTTTTGATCCGACACATATATATATAATTATGTTTTTATTATGTAAAATAGGAAAGGTAATTATACTCTTTTATGAGTTGTCGGTCAAGTCGGGTCGATACTTTTGTCCTAGACTTAAACTTGATTGGCTCAACTCAAATCTGAATTAAAAAATATCATGTGATATTAATTCATATTAATCAAAATTCATTGGATCCGAGTCACGTGCACATCCATAAAAAGTAACATGTTTGAATTGAATTTTTTAGGTAAGTTATGATTTTTGTTACTCTATTATGTTAAAATTTGAGATTTCATATCAATAACTAGTAAGTCTAGTGGAACGAGGCACTAGATCTCTTAAGCAACGTAAAGGGGTCGAATATTGGTGTTTGAGAATGGAGCAAACCGGGTTGGGAATATCGTCATTGCCTCTGTAGTATCTGATCCAAATAATGATTAATAAATCAAAAATCGGTGGTTATACTAGATTTTTTAGATTTCATTGTTTTATTATGATTTAGATTATATATTACTTAAAATTTTATAATATATTAATTTTATTAATTAATTAATTTGAAAAAATCCTTTAAATATTCAATTGACATGGAAACTTTTAAAAAAAAATTCACAACATGTTAATAAGAGTAGTGAGAAACATTAATTATTTGTAATGATCAATATTCTAATAAAAATATGAGAATCAAACTATGTTAAATATGGATTAAATGTCAAATTTTAACACAATAAACAAGTAAAAATATAGTTTAATTAAAATTTTATTTTATTTTTTCTTTAGGATAAGATGCCGATGATCACCTAATTATTAGTGTATTTTTATTTTGATTACCCAACAATGAATATTTTAAATTTCACCACAAACATTCATTCATTTATAATTTAAATTGGGTGCAACAAATATTTATTATAGAGAATTTTTTTAATTCAATTTATTCTACTAATAACGTTAAAATTAAACTCTTAAATATTATTTAAAAATTTAATATCTTATCCGATTATATAAATCGATAATTATTAAGGTAATTCTTTACATTAATATGATAGATAAAAAAGATAATTTTTTTGGATAATTCAATTTTCATTACCCAAAGAATAAAACCTAGTACATGAACAGGACCTGCTACTAAAACACTAGTGTTCTGTTACAGGGTCAATCTACTTACAAAAAGAATCAAGATCAAAATATCCCAATGTTTACATAGAGTAATATTAACACTATCATTTCTATTTATATTTCTATCCCCCAATTGTAATTAGGGATGGGCATGGGTCGGGTTGTTGGTCCACTCAACCCGACCCGAGAACAAAGGAGTTTCCACCCGAAACTCGACCTAACCCGACCAAAACAATGTTTCACCCGATCCGACCCGAATACATGACTTAGAAACACGACTCGACCCGACCCGAAATAATAAAAAAATTAGTTTCATTAAATAAAAACAATGACTTAATTGAAAAAATATATATATATATAAGGGTATTATTGTAATTATTCCTAAATATATAAAATAAAATTATATATTTTTTCGGGTCGGGTCGGGTCAGGTATTTTCACCCTAAACCCGAACCCGACCCGAATATTACACTTAAAAAAACACGACCCGACCCCGATTTTTTTTTTAAAAAAATCCAACACGATCGGGTCGGGTCGGAACTCGTCGGGTTCAAGTTGAGTGACCATCCCTAATTATAATCCAACAACATCCTTAATGGCATGAAACAACTCTTGAACATTTCTGGAGCGGCCTTGAAACAACATCTTGTTCCTTTCTTCCCATAGAAAGTAGATAAGTGCAATAAGGGCAAGCTTCATGATCGAAGTTAGCAATGATTTTCCTTTCTAAGTAGAGCATGCCCACACAAAAAAAACCATCCCAAGAGTGAATAGTAATCTGCAGACCAGAGTGGGAAAAAACAACATTCCATAATTGATCTGCCATAGGACATTGAAGGAACAAGTGCTCCCTTGTTTTTCGAGGATCATCGTAGAACAGACATTGACAATCATTGGTAAGCCCCATACGTTGGAGTCTATCATTTGTAGGAAGTCTATCAAATAATGCTATCCATATAATCAAATTGTGTAATAAAAAAGATAATATATCTTCTCTTAATGAAATAAATTTTGTTTTAATTACAATTAAAATGTTATTCTTTGTCGTTTTACTACTATTTGTTTTCTTTACAATAATTTAAGAAAAAATGAAAATACAAGGAAAGAAAAAAACAAAAGATGTTGGAAAAGTGACATGTGTCGGAGTCAAATCCTCACTGCTAATCCAAATCAAATCTAAGTTAACAATACAAGGGAATGAACGGAAAACAATGGTCTAAATATGATTTTAACCCCCTTTATTACATTGAAATTTGATATTTAATTTCCCTATTTTAATTTGTTATGTGTTTTTCTGGTAATATTCTTAGTATGTCAGTTATTATTAAAATGATAATTTGTGTACTATTCATATAGTGAGGAATATATTGAACATATCTAACTAATAATATATTTAATTAATAATCTCCAGAACAAACGGTTAAAATCTCTCAATAAATATATATCCTCTCTTCTCATTATGAGTAAAATTTATTTTTCCTCTTTTTCAATAGTAAAAATTATTTTAAAACTAATAATATATTTATATATTCATCAATGCTTAGATTGTATTTAAAATAAACTATGTCGGGACATAGGAAAATGTTCAATACAATGTTGAAGTGTGGGTGACATAAGGACTAGATATGGACGAATAGAACTAGAATATGATAATATTTAAGGCTATAAACAACATTTCGAAACCAACCCCAGATCATCAAAGTGCTGTTCTCTTTGTTTTGATTAGAGAACTGCTGCAATGAAATTGAGAAATTCATTTAGATTATGTTTGAGGAGCTGCGATTGTAAGTAGATTGACTTTTTTATCTTAAAAGTCATCGCTACGAGAATTCCGTTCTACAATTCCACCTAATCAAGTGCTAAAACTCCTTCAATTGAATCAATAACTTTGTATTATGGAAGAAGTTATGTAATTTTTTGTTTAGTTTAGGGGGGGGGAACTACATCATCGCTTTAAAATGGCCACACAGATGGTCAAAAAATGTATTAAATATTAACTTTAAAAAAGTAGAGGGACTCAAAATAGAATTATATAAGAAAACAATAATAAATCTTGTCGCGCCGCCAAAAGTGTAGCCGACAGAAAACGGCGGAGTTAAAGACGAAGAGGCGCCAGAGAATGCCACGTCAACAATTGATATGATACGTGGAATTGGAAGAAGATAAAATTTCTGCCATCCCAATCCATGTCCAGCTCAGCGTACCTCGCCACTTTTATTACAACGCTGTAACATCCTTTTCCCAGCTGCATGGTCCCCACATTTTCTATTCAATTTTTGTTAATAAGGAGTTTAATAGGGTATCTAATAACTTTGATGATTAAAATATTGTTGTTATTTATTATCTTATAATTATAAATTTATAAGTTTATATATCACGTATATAAAAATATAAAAGTTTATTATTAAATAATTAATTTTTTTAAACATATATTATCTTATTTTCACTCTAAATTTATAAAAAAAATTAAAATTTTAAGATTTTAAATTTAACTTTTATCATTTCTAAATCTAATTTGGAATATTCTTATAAACAATCAAAGCTTGAAATAATTAATTTTTTTATTATTTTTTTTATAGAATTTTATTTTTAATTTACAATTTTAAAAATAATTTTTGTATAATTGTAACTTATAATTTTAACAGTGTTGTTGGTATAATATATACTTGTAACTTATAATTGTAATTATTTTTCTCCATCACATTATTATAAAAAATAAACTAATTAAATACACACATTTATTTAATAGTTATTTTAGGTTTTATATTCGTTTCATGTCATGGATCATCCCCAAATTTTTTTATACAATGATATTGTATCATTCATCTAATTTGGATATCTTAATATATAATTTTTGTGTGAGTTTATGAGCAGAAATAGATATAGAATTCCATATTATAGAGATAAATTTATAAATTAAAGGATATAGAATTGAAACACAATGAGCTTAAGGTTGGATTACTTATTATCTTTTTGTTTCATATTTAAGAGAATCGTATAGAGGACAATTCGATTTTATCCTTTATGGTCTAAATTTACAGGAGGAGATGGTACAATATGCAGATAATGATCCAGCTGCATTTGAAGCAATGAGTTTAGTGTTTGTTTCAACAAACCTTTTTTATGAGATTTGGCAACGTTCGAGGGTTCAATGTAGTTGAATAAACTCCCATCTCACTGTCTTTTTTGCAGAGAAAGCTATTGAGGTTGCCCATGGAGCAGCTAACAGATGGACAGGTACTTTGTTTTTACCTCTTGCTTATTGATTTCCTCTTCCTTTTCCTTTTCATCTCCATGGTGTTGGGTTTATTTTTCAATAATTTCGGGCAATATTTGGTATTTTTGTTAACAATAACGATCGAAATCTTTGCAGACAACATCTTCACTGTGAGACAGTGGTGCTCAAACAACTTTCCTGAAGCCAAAGAGCAGCTTGAACACATGTACAAGGAGGTATATTGTATGCTGTCTTTAATAATTCTCTAGGGTGCCCAAAGTTGGTTTTACATTCCAAATTCATTAAGAAATGCTCAAATCCGAAACCTTGACAATGAGTTAGTTCTGGTTGAAATCTGCTTGCCATGGGGAGTTTTATGTTGTCAAGACTTATTCCTATAAGTATTTTGTGTGCTAAGAGGTTTTCTTCTCGAATCCTGAAACAGATTGGAATCACCGATGATTTCGATTACGTGTAGTTGTTGCCTCCGGCCATTCCACTCCGGGCAGTCGGCGATGGAGAAGGCAATCCTTAGGTGAGATCATGTCTCTTTTCAGTAAACACACTGTATGCAAATATCATCTCTCAGTTGTTTAATTCTAGGCCAAGGGACAAGGTGAACATAGGTTCATCTAGTACTTTTATAGAGAACGAATTCTAGTATCTTAATTATAACAACTTTTTCTTTAATTTTATTTTGAATCGCTAAATTTAGATACTTAAGAGTTGAAAACATTGCCCGATGATATCAGATAAAGAACTAATTGAACTTAAACCGATAAAGAAGAATATATCTTAATAATTAATTAAAATAAATTCGGATAAACCTACACATTTCATTTGTTGGGATTCTGATTAAGGATGGTTATAAGTTGGGTTTTTTTTCTCATCCAAATCCAATTTAAGTATTATACCTCTCCATCCGTTATTTAATCTTATTAAGGTCTAAGGAGGTTTTACCCGATCAATTTTTAGGATAAAAACTTGTACCCAACCCGACACAACTATATATATATTTCATTTTTATTCAGTAAAATATGAACCTAATTGAAAAAAAATATATATAAAGAAAGATATTATTATAATTATCTCTAAATATATAAGAAATAATTATGCTATTATATTAGATCTGGTTGAAGATTTTTCATTCTAAATCCGGCCCGGCCTCGTCCTTTAGAAACACCTACCTTTCTTGACTTAATTTTTTTTTCTAAACAAAGACTGTTCCCATGCCCATCCTTAATTGTAATTGATTGTTTAATCGGGTGATCTTCCAACAATAAAAAGTATTATAGAAGGTTTTGAGAGTGCCTCAGCTGAGGAGAACATGATCCGAAGAGATCATGTTTGTACTTAACGTAGCTTACCTCAGGCGTATATATGGATTCAATTGAATGATTTGGAGACTTAGAGGACCTAATTGGAGACCTTAGCGAAGTTAGAGAACCAATTGGGGAGACTGGTAAATTGTGATTAACTGGCGCGATGGGACCTCGAACTTGATCCCGAGCAAAGGGTATTGAAGAGCAACATTGATACCATTAAGTCTTCAAATCCTTCAATTGGGTCCCCGTACAACGACTCAAAGATAAATCTCTGTATGTATAAATAATATAATTTATAAAACCTTATTCTTTAGTTAAAATATTTCTAAAACTAAGATTTATTAAATGGTCGACTGATTAAGGATATTAATGTTGTTTTATTGATTTCAAATTCCGACATTTATCTTATGAATGCAATTACCTCTCTATTTAATTAAAAAAAACCTAAAAACCATCTATGGGGTCGACAAATAAAGTCCCAAAGTTAAAACAACACCAAACACCTCACCAATCTCTTAATAAACCAATTGAGAAGTTTGAGATTATAATATATTGTTTTTTTAATAGTTTGAGGTGATTACAAGATATTATCTGTTCATAATTTTTCTTAACTATTGACAACATGCACCTTACAGACACAACTATTTGAACTCAAAACGTCAATAGATAATAACACTCTTTTTAATTACTAAGATCATTTTATTGGTTCGAAATTATAGTATATTGCTCTTTGCCCTGTTGTATAAGGTAAGCATAGTTGTCAAAATGGAATAAAACGTGAACATGAATTGATACAACCCATAATTCATTCCAAAACACAACATATGGTAACGCCCAATTTGTAGCCTATAAACGTGTAATAGATTTCAACCTCCATTGGTCCATTTTGTGTCCGAACAATCACCCTTTTAACCCCAAATATGCTCTGATTCACCATTCTCCAATGTCTGCCACTGCTTCACCTACGGCAAAGTCCAAAAGAAGTGATCGTAGAGGTTTCTGGAAGGCGATGAAACATGTTTTTGTATGCTTCAATCCGATAACATCATCGAACTCGAGGAGAAAGGAGAATGCCGTTGTGGCGATGACCTCCATGAACTCGAATTTCGGTTCGCCTTTGCCGGACCATGCGTACAGTGCGATGAACGCAGAAGAGCGTGACGAGAATTTGAAGTTAGTTATTACGTATTGCAACAATTCGATGATGTCGGCGTTGTAATTGTTCTTTTTACGTTTTTGTTTAAGGACTCTTTAGATTGTTTAACTGTCTCAAAATGTAAATGTCATTCCCCCCCCCCCATTCTTTCTGAGTTAATTGCACCACAATCCATGACTCTAAATTCATCCCTGAACTTGTAAACATTTTGATTTCATCCTCGATCCATAACTTTCATTCTAAATAAATATTTAAAAATTGAACGTTATAATTTTCAAAACTATTAGTTTCATTTTAATTTAAACCCTAAACTTTTGAACATTTCATCCCTGAACTTGTAAACATTTTGATTTCATCCTCAATCCATAACTTTCATTCTAAATAAATATTTAAACCGTTGAACGTTATAATTTCATCTAAATTAATCTCTAAACTTTTGAACATTTAAATTTCATCTAAAACTATCTATATATGCAAATCACATCTTATGTTAGTAAAACCGTTAGATGAAGCTATATTATTATATGTTTATAGAAAAATTAGATTAAACTGTGGCTGAAATTAATCATATATTCGGATAATTTGAGGATGAAGTTGAAAGATTCAAAAGTTTGTAGATCAATTTAAATACATTATACAAGAACTAGTTTTATTTAATGTTGTTTTTCCAGTATAAGGGCTTTACCATACAATTTTTTCATTGTAACATCAGAATTCAAACCTTCAATCTTATTTAAGAACTTAACGTCCCATCCCGTTAATAGTAGTTATATTTAATTTTAATGGCAACTATAGGAATCAATTGAAGTAATAAAGTTAGTTTTGGGTTTAATTAATCTAGGTCGGATTATTTTATGTTTGAACAATTTTGGGTTAATATAATTCCAGGTTCGAGTCATAACTTAGAATTTGGGCTGGTTTATGTTCAAGCCATTTGAGTTTGGCAATCGGATTTTTTGGGATTTCGGTCATTTTGGATTCGAACTACTTGAGCCTGAGAAATGATTCCAACCCTCCGGTGTCCCAAAAGAACAGTTTTGTTGCATTAGAGCAAGCTCCATATCAAACAAGCTTTTGAGAAACAAATCAATAAACAAATGTTACAGGTAATATAATACATCTATGTGATCTCAAGGACCTGTATAAATATGAACAATGCAAACAGTAGTTAATAGGAAAAGAACATGTTCTATAAGAATTCGGAAAGAATCTATATTTATTTGGGATTCTGTCTGATTGAATCTAAGTGCGCAGTCAAGATGTCGATATCGGGAAGCTTCGGATGAACATGGCTAGCATTCTGCTTAGATTGGCCCTCGCCGGTTGAAGTTTGAGTCGTCAAACTTTTGGCACTGGCAGATGATATAATCTTTGGTACAGAAGCGGATGACTGCTCCTTTTCCGATGACTTGAGAGTTGTATCAGATGAAGACCTTTTGATCTCTGAGACCAGCCTTGAGGTTGCTTGTGATGACAACTGGGGATGACTATAATGTCCCGAGAGATCATCGGAGTTCTTTTTCTGAGGCCGATTCTATGGTAGTGACTCATCAGCATTTGAACTCCTTGAGAAGGAATCGTTGTCCCGGCCGTAGTTGGAAGCAACGGTATCTTTAAGAGCAGAGCTTCTCTGTGAATTTGAAAGAGAGGGCTTCGTTCTTCGAGAAAAACCAGTGTTGGAAGAAGCATTGAAACTTGTTTTAGGAAGGCCTTCATCAGAACCAGAATATGGGACAGCTACTCTTAAGCTAGATCTTTTGTTTTCTTCAAAGCTCGGTGTTTTGTTGTATTGGTCTTGAGGTCTAAAATGTAAACTTGTGTTTCCAATTTTAGTCAGTTGTTTCTGGATCGATAAATTTCCGATCCACCGCACCAGCCAGTTAGTAGTTAAACCAGTTACCATTATCATCAATAAACTGATTAGGTTGACAATAGGGTAGAAGTAATACGAGGGGTTAATGGAGATAAGTTGATGACTAATTTGCACTATTACCATTAAACTCTGCAAAGATAATGAAATAATAGCAAGGGATTATTAGCCTAATCTATCAATATTTATTGCGGGCTATCAAGCTAATCACTGATTTCTCAGCTTCAAAACTCTCATGTCTGGTGTGATCGCAATCCAAATCGTGCAAACGATGATCAAGGCATACGCATTCGATTCCTAGAAAAGCCTTCCTGTCTGAATCACCTTCAGACATAGTAACCAGTGAATGTAAAACCCCTTCCCACTATCTCACCGGCACAAAACCATGCGAAGCACTCCAGTCCGAACAAAGCAGCAATACTGGCATCTTCGACCCTCAGTTCTTTCCTATTCTTCCACATGTGCTTGACATAATCTAGCTCCTTCCAGAATGACTCAGTACGGCCAGGGATACTGCAAAATTTGAATCGAAAGGAGTCATTATGATTCTGATTTTTGGCCGGTATTACAGCCTCCATAGAGTAACCTAATACTTGATTCTAATGGACAGCATAAAACAACAAGGAAATTGCAGATAATCATAGTTATCATTGACTATTTGTACCATACAAAACCATAAACAATCCATTACTTCCCATCCTACCAAAGATGAAACCAGCAAACTCCCAAATAAAAGCCACAATGCCACAAGACAGGAGAGTAACAGAATGACATTTATCCTGAGAATTCTCGAGAGAATGGTTTCTAAATTCTTGCTCACGTGTATGAAGTAAAAGTTAATCCAACCCCTACATCAATAACAATATACTGCCAGAAGATCACCTGAGGATGTTCAATTTGAACAGCAAGAATTTCACTTCCTTACGAAAAATCCAAGTTCTCCTATTGAAAAATGTTCTCTCACAAGTCACAGTGGCCACGAATGTTTCCTATTAGCATGCAAACAAAATTCACATCTAGTAGACCAGAATCCTAATCCCAACCTTCGTCCACAAAACTTCGCAACAAAAACAAAACCGGAAACACCAGAGTGTTCTAAACTCTAGAATTTATGAATAATGCAAGATTAAATATGGAAATATGAGAGAATGATGAACACATTTGACATTACTCTAGAAGTGAGTAATTGTGCAGCCTCGGTAAGAAACAATGTCAAAGCACAAGGGGTAATCAAATACATGCCTGAAGTAATGCAATATCAATTTGTCCAAATCTACTAACAACAACCAGA